ATGCAACCTTTTTCCTACCTGCGAAAAAGGCCTAGAAAGGCTACAGTATCTCAGGTTAAGAACAGTTTCAGGTTAAGAATGTTCCTCTGGAACAAATTAAGTTCTTAACCAGAGGTACCACTGTATCTCTTTTGTTACACTTGATGGGTGTTTGGTGGAGGGCAAGGAGAACCATGGGGCAGGGTCCAGGATGCTCAGATTACTGCCACCAGACCACCCCTTTCATGATGTAACCATGATGTAGTTGGGGGGGTGGTGTAACATGGGGATTAGCAGCAAATAAAAGTTTGGGGGTTCTTTTGTTTGGGGCTTCCATTATGCTTTGTCTTGCAGTGAATTGGAGTCCTGTCGCGACAGTTTCAATAAAGACCAAGCCTACTGGCTGCTGTTTTGCTCTGGTATTCCTGGCTGGTGTCCTTGTTTTTTGTCCAAGGGAGCCCTCAGATTTCTCCGCTAACTGTATTATCCTGGCTGGCCCTTGGAGCCCTTCCAGCTGCAAGAGTCTATCATTCTCTCACTCCCTCTGTAGCAATGGACCTGGGAGACCAGAGTTTGAGCCCAATCACTGGGTGACCTTGGGCCAGTCGCTGCATCTCAGCCTACCTCACAGGGTGGTTGTTCTGAGGATTTAAAGGGAGTGGGAGAACAACAGAGCTGTTATTTTTCCTGCATCGCAGGGGGTTGGACTAGTTGACCCCCTGGACTCCCTTAAATACGTATAAACTCAGCAAAATAGCAAAAAAATAAAGGCCAAACAGCTGTGTGCAGTCAGGAGAGCCCACAGCTGGCTGCCTCATGGGAGATGGATGGAGTTCCCAAAGCAGCCAAGGAAGAATTCAGAGCCTGGAAAGCGTCCTGGAGAGAAAGAGCTGGGCTGTGAACATAACAGGCAGGGTGCATAGATACAAAACCCACAGAAACTGATTGGATCACTAAAAAACCCTATTTTGCTGGAATTGTCCAGAACACCCCACCTCCAAAGGCTGTGTATGGAATATACACTTAAAGCAGATTCTTTCCTTCAAAGAATCCAGAGAACTATAGTTTACCCCTCGTGGAACGACAATTCCCAGAACCCTTGACATCAGGCTGAGCTGATTTCCAACTTTCAAGGGTGGCTAAGTTGGCACCTGCTTTCTGCCAATCTCTTAGACTCATGCCAAGGGCTGGATCCATAGATATATACATATATATACATATACATATACAATTTTATACATATACATATACAATTTATATATAAATATGGCCTTTGGTTTGGACTCCGTCTGACCCTTATGTTTCCCTCCCCTTACGGTCTTGATCTATCGGCTACTTTTAAAATGAGGCTGCATTTTAAATTGCATTTAACCTGTATTTTAAATTGGTCCCTCCCCCATTATGTTTTCACTGTGATTTTATTGGTGTTAGCCACCCTGAGCCCGGCTATGGCCGAGGAGGGCAGGGTATAAATAAAATAATTAAATAATATTAATTATTATTATTATTTCCTCCCATCTTCAACTCGCCCAGCTTGCAAATTAAGAATGTGAAAGAATATCCTCCTAGTGAGCTGTGATGGGAACTTTTGCCTTCAAATTCTCTGGATGGCCCCCATTCAGGAGTTCCCTTGGTGGGAAACCGTGTTTTTTGGGGTGGGGGCTTCAAAGGAGACGGTGCAAGGAAACCCTGCAGGGTCGCCGCTTTGCAACTGCAAACTCTGTCCTTTTCTCCCCCACGCGGCATCTATACCTCTTTGTCCTCTATCGCCACCTGTCTCCCTCCTTCCGTCTCCAGATATTACCGCCCCCCCCCCCCCCACTTTTACAAACTCCTGTTTTTCTAGAGGGGTTCCTTTTGCAAACTTCCGACCAAACTTCCTGAGAGAAGCCCCTTCCAGCGTTCGCGCGGTAACCGGATATGACGGCGCTGCCTTTGGCTTCCTCCTCTTTGAGGAAATTCCAGAAAAAACACAACAAAAACAAACCCGTTTTCCGGGAGGGGGTCACTCCCCCCTCCCTCTGGGTCAATGAGCTCCGCTTCCTAGAGAGGCAGGAAGTTTTTTGGGGTATAGAGGCATTGTTGGAGGGGAGGGGTCTCCATGCATATTAACAGAAAAGAAAAGGGCTTGCAGAGGAGGAGAAAAAGGTGCAGTATATTTTTTGTTGGGGGGGAGGAATTGAGGTAGGGGCTGGGTAGGGGGTGGGAGAAGGATTTGTTTCCCGTCCCCTTGAATTTACAAGCAGGGCTGCTAGGGAGAGGTTTTTTTGGGGGGAGGGCGCGGAATGAGAGAAAAACAGGGAAGGTCTGTAGGGGGTGGGAGGGGGCTGCAAAGTGGGGTCCCCCCCAACAAGGTCTGCATTGCAAGATATTCTTTGGGGTGTGTGTGGGGGGGGGACAAAGACCCTTCGGTGCCAGAGAACCAGGAAAGGGAGCTACCAGGAAAGGATGCAACCAGAATCGGATACTGAACAGTCACAAGGTGACAAGCAGACACTCCCCCCCACCCCCCAAAAAAGGTATCTTAGACGCAGCCTCTTAATCCACCCCCTCCCTCCCACCGCTCCTTGCAGTCTCATGGTCAAGCTCGCTGGGGTGGGGGCGGGTTTTGCTGCAGTGGAAGCTGCCTTGCATGGGGGGGGGGGGAATTGGGGAGGAGGGTGTTGCTGTGCTGCTTTTGTAGCCCCCGAGCTGGAGAACGGGGTCGCCTCTGGATTGGGAGAGAGGGAGGAGATTTCGAATTGGGTGGGGGGTGAGAGATGGGCAGTATTAAGGGAAATCGGCCTCCGGAGCTTCAATAATAATAATAATAATAATAATAATAATAATAAATTTTATTTATACCCCGCCCTCCCCGGCTAGAGCTGGGCTCAGGGCGGCTAACACCAATAAAATCACAGTAAAAATATAATAGGGGGGAAAGAGAGGGAGGGGGGGAAAGAAAAGGAAAAAAAATAAATTAAAATGCATCCTCATTTTAAAATAGCTGATAAATCAAGACCATAAGGGTGGGAAACATAAGGGTCAGACCAAGTCCAAACCAAAGGCCTGTCTTGCAGGCCCTGCGGAAAGATGTCAAATCCCACAGGGCCCTGGTCTCTTGTGACAGAGCGTTCCACCACATCGGGGCCAGTGCTGAGAAGGCCCTGGCCTTAGTTGAAACCAATCTAACCTCCCTGAGACCCGGAACCTCCAAAGTGTTGTTATTTGTGGACCTTAAGGTCCTCCGCGAGGCATACCAGGAGAAGCGGTCCCGTAGGTACGTGGGTCCTAGTAAGAGAGAGGCTGATGTGAGAAGGAAGCAAAAGGAAACAATAATTTGCTTGTTGGGAAGGGAGAGGTCCCTCCCGCAGTCCCCCTTTCAGAAATCATAGATGGGGCGCTGGGAGACTGGAACAAGAATGGGCAAGTCGGTCTTAAGCACCTTCCAGATGGTCTCAAGGCATTGGCTGGAGGCATTAAATAAATACCCCCTACATGTAGGAGTTGGTAAAAGGGCAGCTGAGGGACAAGGAATTTGCTAAAAATAATAATAATAAAGCATGTTAATTAGAGATAAATCTGTAAAATAAGCAGCATGTAAGAGTGGATGAACTGGAATATATCTGAGAGAGTGGGAAAGCAGGGTTTTTTGGAGGGGGAAGTGTATTAAATTAATTATAATTTGGCTTTGACATCTTAATAAATTGGAAAATGAGTTTCCCCCCTTTAAAGTCTCCCTCCCCACCCCCAAAAAAGTTGAAAATAGCAAACATAAACTGAATCCCCCTCAAAACAACACACACAAATGTGTGTCCTTATGGGAAAACATTGTTCCAAAGTGTTGCGTGCGAATCTGGTGGATGCCAAGGCAGTTGACGTTCTTTAGAGTAAGGGGTGAAAAGTTACTCGTGTCACAACGAAATCATCCCCAGTACTTCTTTTTCCAGCAAATGCTTCAACTCCTTTTTCTCAGGTTGTGGGTTTTTTTGTAGATGACCATAATTTTATTAGTCTAGATTTTCAAGATAGCCTACAAAAGAGAACAAGAATATAACACAGATCAAAAACATAAGAAACAAAAGCAATTATTGTAGCAACAGTAAAAATACAAAAAGCAGTAGGTATAAAAATCTGTGGGGTTTTTTGGAAAGTGTAGTAGTCCAGATTTTCTGATTCCATTGTGATAAATGCAAGTCTTCAAGAGATTTCTCGTTTTGAGCAATGAGTTTTTTAGCCCCTGCTGAAATAAAGGTGATGAGTTCTTTATATTTCATATTAGCATTTTCATCTTTAAAAATAGTTAACAATTCCAAAGTTGGGATATGTAGGATTTTTTTGTTTAGGGATCAAGCTTATTTCATAAACATTTCTTTCCCCCAAAATGAAAGCCCTTTGTGGCATTCCTACACATGTATAGTTGTTCCAACCCCGTCTCACTCTCTCCAGCAGAGATGGAATATAGCTTTGTTCATATAGCTACACCTCAGGGTTCCTTCCCACAGTCTCTGCCAGCTGGCCTCTTCGATTACTGTCCCTACATCTGATTCCCAGGTATGTTCCACTAAGTTGGTTTCACCTAAATGAATACCACCAACTGCTTTAATACATTTTTGATAGTACGTGTTTGGATTTTGCATTTGTATTTGCAATTAGAATTTCAGCCGAAGTTTAAAGAGGCATGTGCAGTAACTGCTGGGTTTGTTAGAAAAATGTGTGATTTGATGCACGTTTAGCAAATTCCAGATGTTGTCTAGCTTTACTTAGCATTTGTTCCCCAGTCAAAGGTATGTCATCTGTGTAAATGTCTCCCACCCTAAATAAATCCGCCTTTCTGTGAACCGCTCTCAGACCTCCGGGTATAGGGGGGGTATATAAATTCAATTAGTAATAATAATAATTTCTGCATCGTTTTCCTTAAACAGCTGCTCCTTGCTCCCTGCATTGAAGGGCATCGTGGCAACAGCTGAGAGAGTCCCAGAAGTGGCCCAGTTTACGCCTCCTCCTACTCCGCCTCCTCCGTCCTTTCCACTGGCAGCGCAATGGCCTCCGAGACCCCCTCTGAATGGCCTCTTCTCAGAGGTGGAGTGGAAAGAGGAGCCAGGCAGCTTCCTCAGGTAGGGAAAGAGCAACGGGAGCAGGGAGGAGGGAAGAGGCACAGATGGGACCACCCAGCCTCCCTCTGTGTTGAGTGGGGATGATGGGGATCTAAGAGCAGCTCTGTTTTCTTCTTCTTCCAGGCCCTCTTGACCTTTGAGGAGGTGGCTGTGTTTTTCACGGAGGAGGAGTGGGCTCTGCTGGATCCAGGCCAAAGAGCTCTGCACAAGGAAGTCATGGAGGAGAATTATGAGATGGTGGCCTCTCTAGGTAAGGGCAGATTTGTATTCCTCTTGGCTGTTAGACGTTGAAGGTGTGAATCTTTAGGTCAAACCCTGTATGTACTCTTACGATATTTGCAACTTTGCTTTCCCCTACTCGTGTGGTGCATCTTTATAGGCTCTGGTTATGTAATCCCTTCCTTTGAGGTCGTGGATACAGATTAATTTGAAACGACTGGATGATTTGCAGCCAAAAGTAACTAATATTGTCTTTTTCCTTGGCAGAATCAGACCTCAGTTCCTGTTGGGAAGAGAGACAAGAGCCATTTCTCCAGGATCCCAAAGAAGGAGATCTTAGAAGGTAGCTGCTTAGATGTATTGTGGGGCACAAGCCTGCTGCCTTTATGTCCTGCTTCTGGGCTTCCTCTCACAGCATCTAGCTGGCTTCTGTAGGACTAAATAAATAGACCAGGTGGGCAAAGGCAGCCTTCAAACGCTCTCCAGCTGGCCTTTGGCCATCTCCCTCCCCAGGCCATGACCCATTACCTGCCCTGCTTCACATCCTCCTTGAGTCCCTTTTTCCTGGCTGGGTTGTGTCCTTTAAATCTGCTTGCCTGATTGGAGGAGAGAGGGTGGGTTTTGTTGTAACTCCACTGCTCCCCGAAGGCGACATTGAATAATAATAATATTATTATTTATACCCCGCCCCTCCGGCTGGGTTTCCCTAGCCACCCTGACCAGCTTCCAGTACAGTGGTACCTCAGGTTACGAACTTAATTCGTTCTGGAGGTCCGTTCTTAACCCGAAACTGTTCTTGACCTGAGGTGCGCTTTCGCTAAGGGGGCCTCCCGTGCCACTGGTACTCGATTTCCCTTTTCTTCCTGGGGCAAAGTTCGTAATCTGAAGTACTTCTTCCGGGTTAGCGGAGTTTGTAACCAAGCGTTGTAACCTGAAGCGTTTGTAACCCGAGGTACCACTGTACATATAAAAACATCATAAAACATCATAAAATGTTTTACATTTGTTGTTACACCCCCTTCCGCCCCTGGCCCCAACAGAGCATGAACATGCACACCTGAAGCTGCAAAAGTTGACAATGTCTAGGAGGCCTTTGGCCTGGTCCAGTAGGACTATTCTTGTAAAGACCAGAGATGTCCTCCAGGCTTGAGTTTTCCCTTTCTTTGTGCTGAGATATGTCTCAAATTAAAATATCCTCTGTGGTGCCACTGAGCTGAGGTTAATGTACTGTGAGGTTCTTTTCACAAGTGCCCATGTGCCCTTCTCATAGCAGGAAGGGACATGCTTGAGAACAGTAAAGTCAGTGAAGCAAAGAATTGGACTCAATGTGTAATGAGCATGTCGGCTTCTGCCATGCAGTATGAGTGATATTTTCATTTTCTCCCTCTCCCTAAACAGGTTACAGGCAGAAGAGCGAGAGTTATGGGGAGCCATTGATGGTGTCATCAGAAAATGTGGAGCGTGAAGCAGGGGAAAAGATGGAAAGGAAATCCTCTACTACGCAGGACATTGATATCCATGTCACCCTAAAACCACAGGAAGAATGCACAGGGAGCAGCAGTGTGGAGTGTGGAAAAAGCTTCAGTCAGAGTGGAAGTGTTAGTTTACATCAAAGAACCCAAACAGGGGAGAAAGCGTTTCAATGCACAGAGTGTGGAAAGAGCTTAAGTAGTGCTGGTAACCTAGTCAAGCATAAAAAAACCCACACATGGGAGAAGCCATTTAAATGCATGGAGTGTGGAAAGAGTTTCAGCCAGAGTGGAAACCTTATTGCACATCAAAGAACCCACACAGGGGAGAAACCATTTACATGTATGGTGTGTGGGAAGAGTTTCAGTCTTAATCACCATCTTACTTTACATCAAAGAACGCACACTGGGGAGAATCTGCATAAATGCATGGAGTGTGGAAAGAGCTTCTGTACCAGTAGTTTCCTTACTGTGCATCAGAGAACCCATACTGAGGAGAAACGATTTAAATCTATGGTGTGTGAAAATAGCTTCAGTCTTAATTACCGTTTCACTCTACATCAAAGGACCCCGGTGGGAGAAACCGCATAAATGCTTGGTGTGTGGAAAGAGCTTCAGTTGCAGGAGTAACCTTACTTTACATCAAAGAACCCACACTGGGGAGAAACCCTTTAAATGTACAGAGTGTGGAAAGAGCTTCAGCCAGAGCGGAAATCTTACTGCACATCAAAGAACCCACACAGCAGATAAACCATTTAAATGTATGGTATGTGGAAAGAGTTTCAGTTTCAATTACTCTCTCACTTTGCATCAAAGAACCCACACCGGGGAGAACCCGTTCAAATGCATGGAATGTGGAAAGAGCTTTCGTGCAAGTAGTGTCCTAATTGTGCATCAAAGAACCCACACTGGGGAGAAGCCATTTAAATGTATGGAGTGTGGAAAGAGCTTCAGGCAGAGTGGAAGACTGACTGCACATCAGAGAACGCATACTGGGGAGAAACCATTTAAATGTATGGAGTGTGGAAAGAACTTCAGCCAGAGTGGAAACCTTACCACACATCAAAGAACCCACAAAACAGAGAAACCATTTAAATGTATGGTGTGTGGAAAGAGTTTCAGTCTCAATTACTATCTTACTTTACATCAGAAAACCCACACCGGTGAAAAACTTTTTGAATGCCTGGAGTGTGGAAAGAGCTTTAGTTGTAGGAGTGCTCTTACCGCACATCAAAAAACCCACACATTGGGGAAACCATATGAGTGCATGGTGTGTGGAAAGTGCTTCAGGCGTATGAGTAACCTTAATTTACATCAAAGAACCCATACTGGGCAGAAACCATTTAAATGTATGGAATGTGGAATAAGCTTCAGCCAGGGTGGAAACCTTATTGCGCATCAAAGAACGCACACAGCGTAGAAACCGTTGTGAATCCCAGAGGTGGAGAAGCAGAGAAGACAAAGCTTAGCCACTAAGAAGAATAAGAAATGGTCTCCCCATTCTGCCCAATATTTGGGCCGGCCTGGTTGTCATTTGAAGAGCGTTTCATTGTGAATCCAAGATGTGGAGAAAGAGAGGAGGCAAGGTTTAGCCACTTGGTCAGGGGGTCAGTGAAAGGCATTGGTCTGCTGCCATCACCGTTTCCTTTCAGGAAAACAGAACTCTGTCTTGTGTATCACCCGTCAAGTAGGGTGCTTCCTTGGGAAATGTAATAGAACTGGCTATGGCTTTCCGTGTAGAGAACCACATGCCACTCCCTTCAAAGAGTGTGAGTGTGTGTGTGCAAGATTATGAAACCTGAGATGGCCTAGCAGAGTGTCCCATCTGCCTTCACCACAGAGTCTGTACTTCAATCTCCCATACCACTAGGAAACTGTTTATCCTCTGGGCTACTCATTAGTAGACTAGAAATACTATATTGTTTGTGGGTAGGCTATGATTAGTCCTTCTGCAATGCAACAGCACTCTGTTTTATTTTGTAATCTGTTTAAGCTGTTTACTTGCTATTCCCTTACCTTTCATTCAAAATAAAGTTTCATAATCTGACCAGCTCTTCACTTTGCCCTATCACTGAAGCTCTTCTGAGTACCAGCTTTTAGTCTACTCAGAAGAACAGTGAATATCAATTCTAGATTCAGGTAGGTAGCCGTGTTGGTCTGACACGGTCAAAATAAAAAATTAAAAAGTAGTCCAGGAGCACCTTAGAGACCAACTAAGAAGTAAGATGAAGTTGGTCTCTAAGGTGCTACTGGACTTTTTTAAAATTTATTTTTAATTTCGACTGAATATCAATGTAAAGGATGCTCAGATTAAAACAGCTGTATGTGTAGCCTTCATATTACAACTATTGCCTACTTTTCACATATACAAATATCCCACAAATCATATTTCCTTTCATCAATAAAGAGAAATCTCCTTTTGACCATTGTGAAAATAACCAATCATTTTGGATGCATATCATAAAATTCTCCTCTTCAAAGGAGAGATGGGCCCCCTTTGGGGTACTAACTTGGCCTTTTCTTGCTGAAAGAATCAGGCTTGCGACAATGAAATTAGTCCTTTTTTCTCAACTCTGCAATTGGACAACTTGGAATTCTTTTGCATTGATTTCTTAGAATATATTTTCTGTATGTGTGTAAAAACAACCTTACGTTTTTATCTTCTGTAATCCTGAACTGTCGTGAGATCTATGGATGAACAGCAGTATACTACTACTACTACTACTACTACTAGCATCTTAACTAAATAAATCTATTAACTAAGGTTATGTGACTGAAATCTTCACTGAAGCCTGTATATTCTGTGTGCTTATATGGTGGGTGTAAACACCCCCCCCCAACTATTTCTGAAATAAAGTTATTACTTTAACCCAGGGGTGAGCAAACTTTTTCAGGACGGGGGTGGTCCACTGTCCCTCAGACCTTGTGGGGGGCCGGACCCACCACCACCCTAAAGCAACCCCCCCAAAGGCCCCCCCACCTATGCCACTCATGCCGCAGCGGCTGACACTGCTTCGTCTTCGGCAGCGTCGGCGTCCTCTGTCTCAGTGGGGCACAGAGCCCAAGCTGCTGGCCCCCTCAGCGGGAAGGAAGGGGCGGCACCCAGAGGCGTCTGTGGCTTCTGATTGGCTGCAGGAGCTTCCTGCAGCCAATCAGAAGCCATGCCAGCATCACTGCCCACCCAAAGGCATATGCAGCATTTGATTGGCTGTAGGAACTTCCTGCAGCCAATCAGAAGCTGTGCCGCGTCACGGAAGTCAGTCTCCATGTGGCGAGGCCTCTACGCCACGCCTGTTTAGTGTGGGGACTGACTGAGCGGGCAGCAGGGTCCACAAGGTTCGTGGGCCGGATTAATGAGCCCGGTGGGCCGTATCCAGCCCGCGGGCCTTAGTTTGACGACCTCTGGTTTAACCAAATGATAAGGTGACACAGTGCTCTAAGTCACTTCTGTCACTGATTATAGAATTGGGAGGGACCCTAGTCCAACTCCCTGCAATGCAGGAATCTTAACTAAAGCATCCCTGAGAGATGGCCCTTAACCTCTGCTCAGAAACTTAAAAAGAAAGTGTCCACAACCTCCTGAGGGAGTCTGTTCCACTGTCGAACAGCTCTTACTGCCAGAAAGTTTTTCCTAATGTTTAGTCAGAATCTCCTTTCTTGTAACTTGGAAGTCACAGGTGAAGTGAAGGCATGAGGCAGGAGTTAGTAATGCAGGTGAGCTGTGCACAGGCAAGCTGCCAGCTAGCTCTGGTAAGGCTCTTTTTATTAGCACAATATGCAAAACCAGTCAGATACATTTTGGACTGTGACCTTTACACATCCCGAGATTGAGGGGTTGTATAAAGTTATTTTGGCACCTGTTTCCACCGCGTCATTCTCCCCTTGCACAATGTATAATGAAGGAGACAAAGGTCACAGACAGGGCACGGCAGACCACTGAGAAAGCCAAAGGTTAGATAGAGGGCATGATGTTCAGACAGCTGTGGTTTGTCTGCAGGCGGAAGTGTGTTCCACACCGGGCGGGTGGAAGTGTGCTCCTACCCTCCATCTTCCAAGGGGCAGCCTTTAGATATCTGAAGATGGGTCTCATATCTCTGCTTTTCTAAGCTAAACACAACCCACTCCCTCAACCGCTCCTCATAAGGCTTGGCTTTAAGATCCTTTAAAGTCTGCACATTTTCCAGCTTGTCAGTACCCTCAAATTGTGGCACCAAGAACTAGACACCGTACTCCAGGTGCGGTCTGACCAAGGCAGAACACAGGCGGACTAGGACTTTTCTTGATCAGGACGCTAGACTTCTGTTGATGCATCCGAGAACAGCATTAGCTTTTTTTGCTGCTGCATCACACTGTTGACTCATGTTAAGCTTGTGTACTACGACCACTGGATCCTGTTCACGTGTGAAACTGGCAAGTTAAGATAGCCACGGGCAACTTATACCCTCCAGTAGCGATGCCTCATTGCATCAGGATGCATATGGTTGCATCAGGAAGATTTTGGGCAGCATGTGACAGGACATTCTCAAACAAATATGTGCTCTTTCTTTTATTTTATCACGGCCGAGGACCCTCATACCTACGGGACTGCCTCTCCCAGTATGCCCCACGGAGGACCTTAAGGTCCATAAATAGCAACACCCTAGAGGTCCCGGGCCCTAAGTAGGTCAGATTAGCCTCAACCAGAGCCAGGGTCTTTTCAACACTGGTTCCGGCCTGATGGAACGCTCTGTCTCATGAGACCAGGGCCCTGCAGGATCTGATTTCTTTCCACAGGGCCCGTAAGACAGAGTTGTTCTGCCTGGCCTTTGGCTTGGAGCCAGTTTGATTCCCTCCCCCTCTTTCTTTTTCCTTTCTCCTCCTATGATGAGGCTGCATTTTAATGTTTTAATGTTGTATTTTAATCTTGTTTTTAAGTTGTATTCATTCAACTTGTTTTTATTATTGGTTGTTAGCCGCCCTGAGCCCGGCCTTAGCTGGGGAGGGCAGGGTATAAATAAAATTTATTATTATATTAAATTTATTATTTTCTTTGCCCATAGATCTCAGGGTAGCTCACAACATCATAATACAAGAAAGAAACACAAAATGCATCATAAAAACAAGAGAAATAAACACCCCACTAACCAATAACCCTCCCTCCCCCACCTCACTTGCGGGTTGCAGCACTGACCACACTGGCTTGGTCATGTACACAGAATGGAAGATGTTAGGACCCCCAAGAGCCGCACACACGCTCCATGCGGCTCGGAGCGCTGAGCAGAGCCTCCCGCCTGCATTCGCTCCATAAGACGTACACACATTTCCCCTTACTTTTTAGGAGGGGAAAAGTGCGTTTTATATAGCGAAAAATATGGTAAAAGAATGAGAGAGGATGTTGCGGGGGCTCCCCCCCCCCAGCATTAAGGAAGAAAGGAGTGGGTGGGAGGGGCAAGACAAGATGGGTGAAAGGGGGTGTGTGAAGAGAAAAATTAATCTAAAATAAAAATCAAACTGGGGATGAGGAAGATGAAGGCTGCCTGTTTTGTCTCTTCATGCCACTTACCATATTAAAGTCCAACGGGGAGAGCTGGGTGAGGGGCTACAAAGGAGAGAAGGGGGGAAATTGGATCAGGCAGGCAGGCTTTCTCTCTCTCTCTCTCTATTTTTTATTTGATTTTCCAAATAAAAATTTATAGCAAAACCGAGTACATATCCATACAGAGATATTTTTTTTTAATCTCAAGACTTTCCCCCAATGCTATTGTCAACATTTTCAACTGCATATCATTTCATGTTTCGTATCCTTATTGTCCATTGTATTTGTTACGTTACAAATGAGATTAAAATTCTGCTAATGTTTTCTTCTGGTTACGGTAGTCTCTTAAGTAAATTATAAATTTTCGCCATTCTTTCTTGATGTTTTTGTCTTTTTGGTCCCTGACCTTTCCGGTCAGTTTTGCCATTTCAGTGTAGTCTAACAACTCGGTTCGCCATTCCTCTCTAGTAGGGACTCTTTTTTCTTTCAATCTCTGGGCTAATAGCATCTGTACTGCTGTTTTCACATACATGAAGAGCCTTTTCTGTTCCTTTGGAATGTCGGAACCTACAATTCCTAATAAGAAGGCTTCTAGGTGTGCTTTTTTATACAAAAGTTGTTTTAAACATTTTTTTTCAGTTCGTTATATATCATTTCCCATAAAGACTTTATTACCTTACACAACCACCACGTATGATAAAAGGTACCTTCTTTTTCTTTACACTCCCAGCACATATTTGTACTTGTTCTATACATTTTTGGTAGCTTAAAGGTAAAGGGAACCCTGACCGTTAGGTCCAGTTGCAGACGACTCTGAGGTTGCGGCGCTCATCTTGCTTTATTGGCCGAGGGAGCCGGCGTACAGCTTCTGGGTCATGTGGCCAGCATGACTAAGCCGCTTCTGG